CAAGTGAAAGCGCCGAATATCGCGACACATTGATAGTTTGGCCAAGGCCAGTCAAGGCGTTTGAAACACTATTTAAGTAAAGAATCACATGTTTGAAACCCTTTGGTCCAGTTTGTAAAGGCAGTCTGTACAAAATATCGTGTAAGCATCATGAAATACATCAAGTTAATGCTTTAAACTTATACAGTATCTTGAAGAACCGAATTAATGAGTCCCCAAGTCACTCGTTAGGACAAGTAAACAAATAAACTCGCAAACTCGTGCCAGATATTTCCGTCCCCGACCCGTTATTAAGGGAATCCCTGGTATGCACCGAAAAAAGTACAAGATTAAAACTAGAATGGGGAGTTCAGCCTCCTTAATTTTTATTCACTAATTACAAGCAAGCGACACAAATCTGATGTCAAATAAGCAAGGACGTGTTCCATTTATTACGCCATAACAACAGAAGCGGGCATACCCCGTGTTTTCCTAACATGGACATGCTAAATAAATAGATTGTCGCGTAAAAATAATCCACAGTTACCCGGGTATTATGGTCTTTCTCCGTTTGAAAAATGGTTTATCTGTCTCGAGTTAAACATAATCTATGACTTCTAAATGTTCAGGAACTCAGTACATAAGCCCCGTGCATATAGACACAGACCGTAGTAAACTTCGGGTAGGTTGTTGACTGAGAAGTTATGGGTTCCAGGCTGATAACGAAAGAATCGTTTAATCTAAAGGAAAACTAAAATAGTCCACAGTTACCCAGTATTATGGTCTTTCTCCGTTTGAAAAATGTTTTATCTGTCTCGAGTTGAACATATTCTATGACTTCTAAATGTTCAGGAACTCAGTACATACAGCGCCGTGTATATAGACACGGACCGTAGGAAACTTCGGGTAGGTTGTTGACTGAGAAGTTTAATGTAAAGGAAAATTAAAATAGTCCACAGTTACCCAGTATTATGGTGTATATCGGTTTGAAAATGGTTTTATCCGTCTCGAGTTAAACATATTCTATGAGTTCTAAATGTACAGGAACTCAGTACATACAGCGCCGTGTATATAGACACGGACCGTAGTGAACTTCGGGTATGTGAAAATATGTGAAAAATGTACAGTTGGTAGCAGAAAATCATTTTTGTAACATTCAAGGACATACAGGATTCTAAGAGGATAAAAATAGGCTACAGGCGTACTATTGTGTTTGAAAATAAAGTCCAAATACAATACCGCCCTTCACTTGACAGAACGTTTCCTAGCACACGCACTCAAAACGTTTGCAGTGTAACAGCCCTCTTTTCACAGTGTAATCGAATGGGCTTAGACACAAGCCATGTTAGCTTTGACGCGAGAGACGCATAAAAGCTGGAAATCCCTGTCGGGCGCTCTAATTGGTTTGCGTTCTGGGCGCAGGTTATCGTCAAAACCCCTTGTTTAATTGTTCTTAGTTAAAACTCTTTGGTTACGCTTTTCCGCACTTATTTATACTATCTTCACCATAGTTCCCTGACCAAGAACAAATGTCAGAAGCCATCGCTCATTATGCAAATCGGGTGTAATTGGCACCTCAACGTGAAGTTGGAACCTCACCCCTGAGGCGAAGACCCTAAAGCGGAAGCGCGAGAAGCCCCACAAGTTTGTCTCACCCCGATGTGTTTGCATTTTAACACCTATTTGAGGAGGAATCTCGGAAACCTAGAAACGGTCGTAAATAAGTTTGTTACCTGTTACAAAAATTTTCACATAAAATCACATAATCATCTAGGACATAGGCAAATGTGAAATTATGTGAAGCATTTTCACATAAAATAACATTCTGACCTCTTATGTGAAAAAATGTGATTTGAACTTCACATAATTTCACATTTGACTCCTTTCAGTTTGCGGGGTAAAACCGCTTCACATTTCTTCACATCTTCTCACATTTTGAATTCACATTTTTTTTGGCCATCTTTTCGGGTTGTGTGATTTCACATAATCGATTCACATTTTTCAAACAGTTACATTGTTTCACATAAAATAACATTTGACGATTCACATTTTGAAAAAAAATCACATTTTGGGTTTCACATATTTCTAATGGGATTCACATTACATCACATTTTTTCACATTTCATTAAAATTTTGCACGAAATTCACATAATTTTCACATTCATGCACCTGGTAGTGTGAGTTCCCGCTGGGCGCTGGCGGGTTTATGACTTGAATGATCTTCAGCGCTGATCAAGTTTCTTTGTACGAATAATAGGGGGATTAATTTTATATCGTTTGAAGCTTGCGACTCCGCACAGGCTCCGTGGGTCGCAAATTGGAGCTTCTATGGCCGGCTGGATCTTCTCTGGTGTACAATCCCTTTATTTCGGCCCATTTCTACTATTTTTCCAGCGATCCGCGGAGCCTGGTAGAGGCTAGGTAGGTCATAAGAAGACAAAGGTCAAGGTCAAATAATGGCCCCCCGGTTGCTGACTTGGTATTGCAACAGAACCGGTGTTTGTATCTTTTGTCCTGAACATGCAAGGTCTTTGATTTTTGGTGACAGATTTTCCTGTCAGGAATAAATGGTGTAGGTTTTCCCCCTAGCAACTTGTTCAGAAACTGCAGCTGACGTTTTGTAATATATGTAATCTAGGGCAGGTAGAACATCAACAGATACCAATTATGGCAATAATGACCTAATTGCATAATTAATTTAAAAAATGCTAGGATTTGTTAATGGTGAAAAATTTGAATCTTATTATTTGTGACATATATATATATATATATATATATATATGTTAGCAACACTATGGATATACTATGTTGATATAGATGTTATTTGCATAATCAATTAGGACATTTTTTAAATTTAATATTGTTAAACGATAGTAATTTCACACGCAAAATATTTTAATTTTAGTTTAGAAAACCATAATCCCAACTCCTTTTTGGCTTCTCTCATTACCTGGATGTCTAACCTTCATGGACGTATTCTTTCGCCTTATGTTGCTGAATGTATGTCAAGATTTTCAACATGATCCATACAAAACTTCCGGCATTCCTGTCCTACATTACAAATCGGATGGCACCCAGGCTAGTCCTACTTAACGATGTTGGGAGTAATTCATATTAGTCCGAGTGTGTCGTGTTACCAATATTCCCGCCGCGTATCAATGTTTAGGATACTTTATTGTTTATTGTGTCTTTCGCAATCATTACATCGCGACTCCACCCCTGTTACTTACTGTTTCCCAGAGGCAGACTGTGCTGCATATAAAGCCGTCGGACACACGACCAGTGGAGTCTACACACTTGGCCCACCCCTATCCGGGGTAACGGTCTACTGTGACATGGATACTGCAGGTAGATATTGTTTAAAGACACATCCGTTTGTTCTAAACAGACAACTTTTTAACCTTTTGCACACTGAAGTTGGTTGGCTACCAATTACCAAGGTTTAAGTTCCTGAAGTTGAATCAAACGGCCACACAGAAGGCATAACATTAATCCTAGCAATAGACCAGTCCAACTCCACTGTCAACTCGGCCAAATCTTGCAAACGCAACACTAAAACTAAAATATAGGAATGCAAAAGTCAACTTACTTATTGCTCAAACCGCTATTTTGATTGGCCGACGCGACACACAATCGTGTCGGTCTGTTCCAATCGATTTTCACCACAAAGCACCTTCTGTACTGCCATCGTGCAAAAACTACTTTCATGGCGTCATAGCCTTAAAAGTAATGATGCGTGTTTTCCTACAGGAGGAGGATGGACTGTCATCCAGCGAAGAATGGACGGTTCTGTTAACTTCTACCGGTCCTGGGAGGAGTACAAGCACGGGTTTGGGAACAAGAACGGGGAATACTGGCTTGGGAACGAGAACATCCACCGCCTGACTGCTCAGAAGGACTATACCCTGCGAATCGACATGATGGACTGGGATAGAAATAAACGCTACGCGGCATATAACACATTTAGGTTGGTACTCCTCCTTTCTATAAGAAATTTATCCAGTAAGAATCTTATGTATTACTATTAAGTAAATCATCATAGTTAAGAAGGAACTTGGAAATACGTAAAATACACGGAAAAAGGGTTAATCCTAAAAAATATGCTGATGTGACAATCACCATTTATAGATGTTTCTATTTGGAATTTTAATTTGCATAAGTAATAATAATGTTTTAAAATGTCGAAGATAAGGACACTCGTACACATCCACATGATTTAAGTTATTAAAATATACAAGGCTAGAATTGAACATTTCTATTATAAATAATACAAAATGACAACAAAATTTACAAAAGCTCCTAATACTTCATCGAGGAACAGCTTCAGAAGCTACAAAACAGAGCGGGTAGGGTCATATTAGGGTGCGACCGCTACACTTCCAGTGAAACTGTTTTGAACCTGCTAGGCTGGACCACCGTATCACAACACCACACACGGGTCAAGGCTGTCCTCACGTTCAAAGCACTGAATGGTATGACACCTGCGCACGTCTCACAATACTTCACAACATCTGTTTCTACCCACTCACACAACACCCGACACAGT